ACGAAGAGTTGGTTCTTTGAGAAAATCAACAAGATAGACAAACCTTTGTCCAAACTTACCAAACAGCAGAGAGTGAACACGCAAATTAACAAAATCAGAAATGAAAAGGGGGACATAACAACAGACTCTGAGGAAATCCAGAGAATCATTAGGTCATACTTTGAAAACCTGTACTCCACAAAATTCGAAAATTTAAAGGAAATGGATGACTTCCTGGACAGCTATCATTTGCCAAAACTAAATCAAGAACAGATAAGCAATTTAAATAGACCTATAACCCCTATGGAAATAGAAGCTGTCATCAAAAGTCTCCCAACCAAAAAAAGTCCAGGTCCAGATGGCCTCAGTGCAGAATTCTACCACAAATTCAAAGAACAGCTTATACCAATTCTTCTCAAAGTGTTCCACACAATAGAAGCAGAAGGGTCTTTGCCAAACTCTTTCTATGAGGCTTCAATAACCTTGATCCCCAAGCCACACAAAGATACAACCAAGAAAGAGAACTTCAGACCAATATCCCTCATGAACATTGATGCAAAAATACTCAATAAAATACTGGCAAATCGGATCCAAGAACACATCAAAACAATCATTCACCACGATCAAGTAGGTTTCATCCCAGGGATGCAGGGATGGTTCAACATACGAAAATCCATCAACGTAATCCACCATATAAACAAGCTGAAAAACAAAAATCACATGATCATCTCACTAGATGCTGAAAAAGCCTTTGACAAAATCCAACATCCCTTCATGATAAAGGTCTTGGAGAGATCTGGGATAACAGGGACATACTTAAACATAATAAAAGCCATATACAGTAAACCAACAGCCAACATCAAACTAAATGGACAGAAACTCAACGCAATTCCTCTAAAATCAGGAACAAAACAAGGCTGTCCACTCTCTCCATACCTTTTCAACATGGTACTTGAAGTTCTAGCTATAGCCATACGACAACAAAGGGGGATCAAGGGGATACAAATTGGGAAGGAAGAAGTCAAACTTTCACTGTTTGCAGACGATATGATAGTTTATATCAGTGACCCAAAGAACTCTACCAGGGAACTCTTACAGCTGATTAACACCTTCAGCAAAGTGGCAGGTTACAAGATCAACTCAAGAAAGTCAGTAGCCCTACTATATACAGATGATAAAAGGGCTGAAAGAGAAATCAGAGAAACATCACCCTTTACAATTGCCACAAACAACATAAAATACCTTGGGGTAACGCTAACCAAACAAGTGAAAGACCTGTATCGTAAGAACTTTGAATCTTTAAAGAAAGAAATTAAAGAAGCCCTCAGAAAATGGAAAGATCTCCCATGCTCTTGGATAGGTAGGATCAATGTAGTAAAAATGGCAATCCTGCCAAAAGCAATCTACAGATTCAATGCTATCCCCATTAAAATCCCAGCACAATTCTTCACAGACCTTGAAAGAACAATAATCAATTTTGTATGGAAAAACAAAAGACCCAGGATAGCCAAAACAACCCTGTTCAACAAGGCAACGTCCGGAGGCATCACTATCCCTGACCTCAAGCTCTATTATAGAGCTATAGTCCTGAAAACAGCTTGGTATTGGCACAAAAATAGACAGGCAGACCAATGGAATCGAATTGAAAATCCGGGTATTAACCCACACACGTACGAACATCTGATCTTCGACAAAGAAGCTAAAAATATACAATGGAATAAAGAAAGCATCTTCAACAAATGGTGCTGGCATAATTGGAGACTGGCATGTAGAAAAATGCGGATCGATCCATGTTTATCGCCATGCACAAAACTTAAGTCCAAATGGATCAAAGACCTCAACATAAATCCAGCCACACTGAACCTCTTAGAAGAGAAAGTGGGTGGTACCCTTGAAAGAATTGGTACAGGAGACAGCTTCCTGAACATAACACCAGTAGCACAGACAGTGAGATCAACAATTAATAAATGGGACCTACTGAAACTGAGAAGCTTCTGTAAGGCAAAGGACACAGTCAGCAAGACAAAAAGGCAGCCCACAGAATGGGAAAAATATTCACTAATCCCACATCTGACAGAGGGTTGATCTCCAAAATTTACAAAGAACTCAAGAAGCAAGTCTCCAAAACAGCAAAGGACCCAATTAAGAAGTGGGCTGCAGAACTAAATAGAGAGTTTTCAATAGAGGAGTCTAAAATGGCTGAGAGGCACTTGAGAAAGTGCTCAACATCCTTAGCCATCCGGGAAATGCAAATCAAAGCAACTCTGAGATACCATCTCACTCCTGTCAGAATGGCTAAAATCAAAAACACCAATGACAATTTATGCTGGAGAGGATGTGGTGAAAGGGGGACACTCCTCCATTGCTGGTGGGAGTGCCAACTGGTTCAGCCACTTTGGAAAGCAGTATGGAGATTCCTCAGAAAAATGGGAATAAACCTACCACAAGACCCAGCAACTGCACTCTTAGGCATATATCCAAAAGATGCCCATTCATATAACAAAGATGTCTGTTCCACTATGTTCATAGCAGCTTTATTTGTAATAGCCAGAACTTGGAAGCAACCTAGATGTCCCTCACCCGAAGAATGGATAGAGAAAATGTGGTACATCTACACAATGGAGTACTATTCAGCAGAAAAAAATAATGGAATCATGAGATTCGCAGGCAAATGGATGACACTAGAAGAAACCATCCTGAGTGAGGTAACCCAGTCACAAAAAGAGAAACATGGCATGTACTCTCTCATATATGGATTTTAGACATAGATCTGGGGAGTGCCAGCCTACAATCCTATTGCCAGAGAGTCTGGGAAACAGAAACTTCATTTACTGGCTGGTTAAGTACTGAGCTGAACTCAAGAAAGCCAGTATCAGAGAGGGAGGACTGATGATCAAAGGGATTAAGACTGGGCTGGTTGAACCCCCAGAAACAGCTGACCAGACAAAGGTTAACTCTTGAATCCCAGGCATCAGCCTGGGAATCCAGCATGGGACTGATCAAGACCCCTGAATCTGGGTGTCAGTGAGGAGGCCTAGGTAATCTATTGAGCCTTGGACAGCAGATCAGTACCCATCCCAAGTATACACACGGTCTCTGGACTCCCATAGAACAATGTGAGGTGCACTCTCACCCTGAACTCTTGGGGAAGGGTCTAGGCCCTGCCCTATATGAAATGACAGACTATGGACACCCCCATGGAGGGCCTCACCCTCCCTGGGGGAATGAGGGGATAACGGGGGGGATGGGGGGAGGGCACAGGAGGAGGGGAGGGAAAGGGAGAGGGACCTCGTACTGACTTGTGAAGCAACCTTGTTTCTTATCTAAATTTAAAATGGAAAATAAAAAAAATATTAATATAATAAAAAAAAATATTCACTCATCCCAAAAAAAAAAAAAAAAATGTACTTGATATAAAAAATGAAGTGCATTGGTCATACCAGGTAAGTTGAGTGGCTTATCATCTTGTTATCCTGTTTCATGTCTTCACTGTTGTCTAAAATGAGATTGCATTGCACTCATATTTTTAAAAACAGAACAAATACACATAAAAATGCTTTTAGGCAATAGGATTATAATTGACATCAGCTACTAAATTCATAGAAATGTAAGTAAATCATACAGGGCTGTGAATTCATTAAAAAATACAGCCAGTCAGTCTTGATGGTTTATGTTACTATACACACCAGCAAGTAGGTGCTGTCAGCCCAGGAAGATGGCAATTACACAGGTCTCAGTAGCCAAGCCTAGTGAGTACTGCCTCCCCTGTCAGAGGAAACAGAGAAATTGTAAGCAACGAGCTATCAGCTACTTCAGAATCTAGAGAGGTAGGTATCTCTCATTTTTTCATGATACCCTTATGGTTTATAGAAGGTTTTATTTCTTTCTGTATAGAAGTGCCTGCCGAATGGCATTGCTCACCTTCTCCAGGGGCCATGGCATATAATGATACTAGTATGTAAGTTAGGGGCCCCACTTGCTGATCTTCTCAGTCTTACTTCTAGTTAGCTTCTTCGTATGGAGCTCTGCACTGCAAATCTTCTAACAAATGCCCACTTTTCTAAGAGAATGAAGTCTAGCAACTTCTTCCACACTTACAGATCTTGGGCCAAGACAATAATTTTCTATGAAGAAGTTTCTTCCTTATAGGAAAAGAATATTTGTGCCCTTCCAGCAGCTGAGTAGATTGAGGCAAGTAATAGAATTTTCAAGAAATGTGAGCTTAGCCACCTTGAGGAGTCACACTTATCCTATACCAAAGTAACGGAAATAATATATTCCTAATGTGCTCAAGTTCTCTCTGGACACACATAATATTTGGTTCATACTTTTCACTGTGAGCTTTGTATATAGTCTGAGATGTTTCGTGGGGTTTTGTATTCCAAAGCCACACTCAGTTGCATCATCATCCCAACTGACTGTCACAGTGGCTCTGTAGAAGACATCTTCTTTCCTGCTTTACAAGGAAACCAAAGTTTAAAATGGGAAGATGTTGAGTTCAAGGTTTTAAAGTCAGGCAGGACTCAATCCCAGGTATTCTGGAAAAATTCTACTACAATTTCAAAATTGTAAATCTGACTTTAGGTCACAGTCCACAATTTTGTGGGATAAGAATGATCTACCAGCAACTAAGACACCTACTGCTGAGGACCAAGTAGAGATTGGAGAAGCTAGTACCTATGTATTATGTACAACTTTCCTTGCCCTATCTCATTTAAGCATCATCTCTTTCTCTTAATTTATCTGGGGTTTAAGTCACATGAAAATTACTTCCCCAAAGTCTCATAGCTCACAAGTGGTGAAGCTTTCTGACAATCCCTGGCTTCCTGAGTCCCCAGTCCACAGCCTTCTCATTACACTGTAAATCCCAGTGCTTTTAGGTCTGTTTCAGATACTTAAGGGCAAAAGCATGGGAAGATTTGTGCCTCCGTTGGTTCCTTAGGGACCCAATCTTTCTACTTTCCTTCCCTACACCCTCCAGCCCCATGTGACCTGCTGACATGCTCTTTTGTTCCCTGCAGGGTGTGTGGTGGTGGTATCTGTGATTGAGCAGCTGGCTGAAGTGCACAACTCCTCAGTCCAGGAGGCGATGGAGAGACTATGCAGCTACCTGCCTGGTAAATGTGCAAGGGCCCCGGATACTCTGTGAGACACCAAGAGGGAGATTGGCTGGGGGGTGGGGGCAGAATTTGGTTATGCTTTCCTTTTCATATACTAATGGTGTTTATAGAGACCAGGTAGTTTGTGTAAGACATTCTCTATCATGGCAGACATCACTGAGGCCATATAGGGAGAAAATGTTGAATGACCAATTACTATGAGTGTGTCACAGTAATAGTGATTTTTTCCCACCCGATGATAACAGACACACACAGTCCTACCAATATAGACACTAAGTGGAAGGATTTCTGATCTCAACAACCCAGTTAGGAAGGCATCAATCACACCCCTTTCATTTCACCTAGATCTCATTTAACTTTCTCACCGATCCGTCAAACCAAGGAACTGATGGGTGCTTTTACAAACTGTGTATCTGGTTTTCAGACTCAGCAGAAAGAAAATATTTACTCTGTTTTCTGCATACATAATAGTTATGTATTAGAGGGTCAAGTTTTCTTTCTCTTACTAGGAACTAATTCACCAAGAAGGTGGACCCTATTTTCTTTCTGTTAATTATGGTATCCAGTCTAACAGTGATTGTATCTTTGATATATATGCTACCCCATGTCAGTAGCAAAAAATTCATTTTCTGAGAATTACATTGTTTAGTATATGAATTTACAGGATAAAATATTTAGAACTCAAAAAGGAACACTTAGAGAATAGTATACACATGTCTGCTTATGATGTCCCCAGTGGATGGTTGTTAAGATCTTGATGTATTTATGTCAAATCTTTTGTGAAATTAAATCATAGTAGATGAACTGGAAGCACCTTCTGGCTTCTCTGGCCCAACTCTATTTTCACCAACTCCCTAGGAGGAGAAATGAACTTAATGAATACTGTTTTTGCAGGATTTCAAGTTTCCATATTTACTCATATGGATCGATAAGCAAGTTGTAGCTGTTTTGTTAGCAATTTTAAAAACCACTTTGGGTAAAACAAAGCAGGTGTAGGAACCACGTAAAGTGCATGTATAGTTTTCCATTTTTGAAAGGGAAACTTCTCTGTAAAGAACAGATAATTAGCCTCCCCCGAAGCCCCATCTACATGCTTATGATCAGCATTTTTACCCACCTGCAAAAGAGAATGTCTAAACTTTTAGTAATTACTTCTTCACTTTTTTTTTCTTTTGCAGTTTTAGCATAACTATCTTCCTGCTCTTGTTTTACATTTCTGATCTGTCTTCCAGGTCTCTTACAATCCACAACTTAGATCTCATTGTTTCCCATGTAACTTAGTTGTGAAATTTGTCCTGTAACACTTCCCACAGCCTGGGATATGCTGACTTCATGTATACCTGTGGTGTATTTGAACATGTTTTTTTTCTGAGCTCTGTGGTTTCTCAGGATTGGAACTTAATCTAGAGCTTGGGCATCCCAATTTGAATCTTTAGGCAAAATGATACACGGTATTTTCTGTCTCTCTCTCCCTCTCTCCCTCCCTCCCTCCCTCCCCCTCTCTCCCCCTCTCTCCCTCCCTCCCTCCCTTCCTCCCCCCCTCTCTCTGTCTCTTTCTCTCTCCCTGCCTCCTTCCCTTCCTCCCTCCCTCTACTTTCCTGTCCTCTGTGTAATTCTAGCAGCTGTTGATGCTTCATGGTGAGATGTATCAACTTATTAGGAGGTATAGCATTGGTATATTCCAACTTACCATTCATTAATGGAAGCATATTTGACCTCTTCCCTCATTATCTTATTCGAATATTTTCCCATAGTACTTAATTCAATTTGAAGAATCAAGACACATGCCTTATTCTTTACTTGGCAGTTTTTAGGAGAGTGAATTGGCTTTCTATTATCATCCCAAAGTAATCATTTTCTTTAAAAGGATACTAAGTCCTTTTTAAAACACACTTCAGAGATTTCAGTCAATTGCAACCATTATCCTATTGAAGCTCAAATAACTCCTTCTTTGGCCAGAAGGTCAGAACTTCCTTTTCAATTTGACAATGAGCTCAAATAACCCTAGGCAGCTTCCTCAGTAACCATTCTGGCCATATAATCTTGCTGTATCTTGTACACTCCTGGGGGTTGAAATCAGTTATTTTCTTTGAAATCTAAGGATTTCTGTTTTTTGGTGACAATTCCTACATTAAGACTAAAGCCTTGGTGTTTGAGAATCCTAATTATACTAATGGTCAATCTTAGCGTCTCCATAGACAGGGATTAAAAACAAAAACGCATGCATATACACTTATATGTATAATGTTTAACGTAAATCTAATGAGTTCATGGTGCCACTTCTAATTCAAATCCCAAACTACAGGTATTTTTCTTAATAGCTTTTGTTTCTTGGTTGGTGTCTTTCCTTTTCTGTAAAGCTCTAATTCTCAAAGTGATGACTAGAACTAAATAGCCCATAAATTCCCATGTACCTGTCCCTTACCACACACCAACTGTCTATAATATCAACTCTGGTATATTTATTATTTCTTATTGCATGTATTTCACATTTATTGAGAGTAGTTAAGATTGGTTTTTTTGCATATAGTTTTTCCCATTTCTCCACCTTTTGAAAGCACTGACGTATGTGATCTGAGCATATTGCCATTGTTTAAAATACCTATCCAGTCACCAACTGTGAGACTCATGTCCACCCCACCTCTCCCGTGAATGTCCCATAGTAGAAGCTCATTCCTCAGGAAGTGCTCTTGGGAAAAATAGCCCTTGTATTCTTACATGTTGATAACAGGCTGTCTGCAACATCTAGACTTGGAAGCCATTAAAGTTGTGGATATCAATCCTTGACTGTGGGTTGCTGGAGATAACTCAGTAGTTAGGGGCACTTGTTAAAGTCTCAGTTCAATTCTCTAGCAAACACATAAAACGCTGCATTCACCTGTGATGCCAGGACTGTGAGAGTGGACATGTAGAGACAGGGTCACTGGAGCTTGCTGCATTCACCTGTGATGCCAGGACTGTGAGAGTGGACATGTAGAGACAGGGTCACTGGAGCTTGCTGCATTCACCTGTGATGCCAGGACTGTGAGAGTGGACATGTAGAGACAGGGTCACTGGAGCTTGCTGCATTCACCTGTGATGCCAGGACTGTGAGAGTGGACATGTAGAGACAGGGTCACTGGAGCTTGCTGCATTCACCTGTGATGCCAGGACTGTGAGAGTGGACATGTAGAGACAGGGTCACTGGAGCTGGCTGGGCACCAGCCAGAGGACCCAGGTTTGGTTCTCAGAACACGAATCAGGCAGCTCGCAACAGTCTGTTAACTCCAATTCCAGGGGTTCCGAGGCCCTGTTTTGACCTCCTTGAGCACCAGGCTCATATTTGGTGCACAGATGTGTATGCAGGCAAAACACATACACATAAAATAAAAGTAAACAAATATTTTTAAAAATGAAAAAAATAAATTACAAGGCTAATGTTGATCCAGTTTTCTTTTTCATTGCAAGTCACTTGTTCTGTTTGACAAGCATTTCAAAAGATACTTTTCCTTTTGTTTTCTATGAAAGTTAGTGATCTAAGCAGATCATGTTTCAGAGTTCATTACTGAATGTTCACATTCTCAGGCATGCAATGAGCTTTCAAGTATACGTATTTCCTAATTGAAGGAAAGGCTTTTTATTTCTTCAGTTTCCTTGGTTTGGGTTTCTTTGGGGATTTCTTCTTGTCCATATATCCAATCTTCATTGCCTGTTTGATACTTTGTCCCACTTTGAATTCCTTTCTGTTTCTCTTTGTGTGGATGTGCTGGTTGCTAGGGTGGAATGCAGGACCCCATGGACACTAATCAGTGCCCTCCACGGGTTGTAATCCACACCGTCTTTGTGTCTTATCATTAAATGTCTTCCTCCTTTCATCTCTGAAGGCCCTGACTATAGTTTCCATTTGTTCTATGTTCATTCTTTCCTAATTTCTTTTATCCCATATCTGAGTTTTTCTAACTTGGATTTCTTCTCTTCTTTCATGTTTTATATTATTTTATTAACAACTTATCTTATTTTGAAACACTGTTTTAATCTCTTTTTTTGGCATGACTTTACTATCTGTAGGAATGTTATTCATTTTTCTCCTTATAATAGCTTTGTATGGGAGTTGACCTAGATACATTTCTGTTGCTTAATTTTTTGGTGAAATTAGTCTTCAAAACTCTTAAAAAGAGGCGGCACAAAATAATGTTTCTGAATGCCCAGAGCGCCGTCTTTGTTGCTCTTGGACAGTGTTTGAAGTACAAATTGCTTGTTGCTTAGATTTTCTGCATCTTTTCCCTGCCTACTTTTACCAGGAGCTTCCTTCAACTCTATTTTTAAGCAGCTCAGCAGTTCCTCTCATTGTGGGCCCTGCTCACAAGGGATTTGGGGTCCAGTTCCCAGAGCTTATGGGTATCAGATTATTTTAACTACTTATTCCTTCTGACTTTAAGTACTGTGGACAGACTCCTCGGGTTAGTTGTCGTCTTCTGGTTGGCTCATTCAGCTTTCCAGTCAGCACCTGACACTTCTGGGCTCTCCTTTGAGACAGATGAGTCATCTTTACATAACACTACATTGTGTTCACTGGGGTTCCTAAATTTGTTTTAACTATTTTCTGTGGACTTTGCTAGGCATCAAAAAGATTCCAAAGTGCCACTGCTTCCTGGTCACCTTTCTGGTATTCCACCTTCTGAAGGCTTTAATTTTACGTCAATAGTCATGAATTGCTTTGTGACATCCTGTTTTTAGTCAATATTATGTTTTAAAGTCTATACCCAATAAGACAATTCCTCAATTTTTCTTTGTCATGTAAACATCCTATACTTTGATTCATACTTTTATTATTGGACATTCATAATCTGTCAAAAGTCTTATTTCTAAAGTTTTGTTATGGTTTGTACTTGTTCCCCATAGATTCATGTGCTGGAGGTTTGGTCTCCAGTATGCTGGTACATTACATGTCACAGCCTAAGACAGGTGATATAGCCATGGGCATCACCCTGGAAGAAGGGACTAGTGCTGATATTATG